TTAGTCATATTCTGTCTCTTCATATATAGGCTACGCGAAATACAAAGCGAAACACAAATAAAAAATAATAAAACATTAACAATTTCTTCAAACACATCAAATACATGGATTCGTCTGCGAACATGAAAATTAATATATGTGTCATGTACAAAATTAAAAAAAATGACGAGAACTTTTTCCCCTTTGTACCTTTTCAATATAGATAGATGATACCGCAGTAAATACTTTGTATTTGTATTCAGGCTTGGTTGGGTTACTGAATGCATGAAACAAATCGGGTCGATTTGTTGACCATTCATGAATTTGATATTCAGTATCATTCTTTACTATACGCTTGCAAACATTTTACTAGAGTCTCCATTAACCATAAGAACATTTCTGTTTGCAGTAGATTGACAATTGAAAATAGTGGGGTTGCTATCATTTGCGACCGGTAATGGTTAAATTTGACATGATGATGTCTTAAAAGGTTTTTTTTTTTTTATCCAGCTCATGTTTCTCTAAGTCAAATACAGGCAGTGGATAGATCGAAGTTAATGGTTCAAGATTTCAAGATTTCAAATTTATTCATGTTTCCAACAAAACATTACAAATCAATTATAAGCATTTAAAACAAATTTAAGAAATACATGTTGGAAACAGAGGGGTCCACTAAAAAGCAATGCTTGTACAAGTGTGAACACCTCAAATGAAACTTAGGAATAATGACTAATTAAATTAACTTATCTGTAACTACAAAAGGAACTACAAAATAGAGGAAAGAAAAAGGGGGATGCCAAAAGAGACGAGAAAGGTACAAGACAATACTTTACACGACAAAGATAGAAGAACACGGACATAATACAAAGAGTAGACAATGACAAAAAGAAGTGAGAGATCGAGGGTACAGAAAATAATACTAAATGATTGGAATCACACTGTCACAATATTTTGTTCCTCAACCTCTTGTCATAAAATGAATATGATTTATTATTACTGATCACTCTGAAAATTCATATAGGTTGATCAATAAAGTTCTGAGAAGGTATAATAAGGTCTATCTGATTAAAGTAAGCCATTATTGCCTCAATCATTTCGTGAAAAGGGGTTAGGAAAATTATGCCGACTATTTCTTTCAATTATAAAATATTATTTTCATTCCAACAACTAATCAAGTAAGTGAGTTAATCCAAACAGCTCATTTTACATATATCAAACTGAAATAACAGATAGATATTATTGGTTAAAAGGAAAACGATTGAGTTCTTTCACATGCGTGATTTTAAAATTGTTATTCCCACAACTGTACAGCTAAATTTATTTTGTATTCAGCTTATTTTCCCTTTTCAAACCAAGACGGCAATACTTCAAAATGAAAGTGTTATGTACATAATTATTGGCCCCATCAGTGGACAATTATAATACTTGAGGTCCAGGTCATGGAGTATAATAATGATTATTACAAAGGTTTTTTATACACCCTTTTCCATATTTAAACTGAGTAGTTGCTCGACCTACTCAGGTTTCTTTATACAAACACTATATTATACGTATAATTCGTCCTTGTTTTCACGAAGTGACGGTAGTGAGGAAAATCGTAACGCAAAGTGAATGCAATTTTGTTTCACTACTGTCACTTCGTGAAAACAGCGACGAATTATGTGAACTACCCCGCTCAATGCAAATATAATATTGGGCATTGAATTGAGTAGTAGAATCAATTACGTTGCTACTAATGGAGAGGGTTACTTCAACATTCTAAATCAAATCTAAATAGAAATTGAAGAACTTAAGTGGGTGGCTCTTAGTTTAATTTAAGCCAATATCTCTTTTTCTGATTGATTTTAAAAACATTTAGGCAATACCTCTATTTTACCTTTTTTATAGTCAATATGTTTCTTTTCTGAATGATTTGATTTCTTTTCATCTTCAAAATCTTAAATGGTAAGGTAAAAATAACAGAACATATATTTGTTTTAATCCATTGATGGCCTACACAACGTATATACTTGCTGAGGAACTTATATTGACAGCAAGGATTTTGGGTGAAAATCGTGTTTGCATCAAGACGAAAAATTAACTGGATAAGAAGAGAGAGAGAGAGCCGGAGAGAGAAAGATAAATAGACTGAGGGGTTGGGGAGAATGAATGAGAAAGAAAGAGCTTATTGTAGGTAAGGGAGGGAGGAGGAGTAAAACGAATGGCGAAGAGGAAGAGAAAGAGAAATAGAAAGGGGAAGTGTGACGGAGAGAGAGAGAGATAGAGAGGTGAGAGATATCGACAGAGGGGGAGAGAAAGAGAGGGGGAGGAGACATAGAGATAGAGAGAGATAGATAGATAGATAGAGAGAGAGAGAGAGAGAGAGAGAGAGAAGGGAGTGGGTAGAAGAAACAAAGTAGAAAAGACTTCAACTTGCATTATATTGTTATCAGCTATGCGATAAACTGATAAGTTGCCCGAAGAAGTATAAGAATTTTTAAGTTGCAGAAGTTATAGAAATTGCTTTTTTGTATAAATGACAATCCATTGAAAGATGGCACAATAATACGATTACGGGACGTCTAGTCATCTGGTTGCGAATGGAATTAACATATCCCCCCCGGCCCCCTCTGTTAAAAAAAATATACCACATCTCCCTCATGATTTGTTTTTAGATGCATATCAGATACATTAAGTAGCACATGGTGACAGTAAATTTAGTTGGCAATTATTCATGGAATAAAACTGTTTTGCAAACGCTAACGACTGTTTTGCAAACGCCTGCAACTGTTTGCGGAAAAATAAATTCGCAAAGAAATTTTGAACATGTTCAAAATTTCTTTGCGACAAGAAAAAATGTTTACAACAAAGAAAACTGTTTGCGATCTTTCTTGCAACCTTTTACAACATTTTACAAACTCTGGCGAAACCCCAAATTCGCTACGTTCGCAAGCATTCGCCGCTCAGTGAGATAGGCCCTTTAAGTCGTTAGCGTTTGCAAAACAGTCGTAAGCCTTTGCAAACGGTTGTTAAACGGTTTTGCTCTTTGTTTTCGTCAGTTCTCTGTGTTTCGCCAAAGCTAGCGACCACGTTACCATATGGTTCCTTTATAAAATCGACCCATTGAGTACCAGTAGTTAGCAAAAGGTCTCAAACGTTCACAAATAGTGGCAAAGGATTGGCAAATAGTTGCTAATCTTCGCAAAAGGTGTCGCTAACATTTGTTTACAGTCGCTAATAGTCACCAACTGCCTTTCGCAAACACTTTCGGAGACATTCGCTCAAATGTTGCTAATTGTCGCTAAACGTCACTTAATGTCGCTGATTTTCGCCAACATTCGTCAGAAAAGTTGGCGAATCCAAATTCGCAACGTTCGCAAGCATTCGCTGCTCAGTGAAAACAGGCTCTGGGGTCTCAGTCATGTAGTAATAATGTAGGCATGCGTGACCAAAGGTTTTCCAGACACCCCCTAAACGAGGATTTCTCCTGAAGCCAAAATACACCCTAAATGAGGATTTCGCGAGGTTTTCCCCCAATTCATACCCTAAACGGGTATTTCACAAAAGTGTACTCCTAAACAAGAAATGTAAATTGTAACCCCTAGAGCATTTTGAAGTGCGATAGGGATTAACATTTAAGTTGTTGACAATGTTGAATAAATCGAATTGCACTAATGATGTAAAATTCGTAATTGCAATAACATCAACCTGTACACTACGAAATGGGTTTAATGAACATCAATCATAAGTCCTTTCTTTGAAGAAAAAAAAAGAATTACATTTCGTCGTTGTCGTAAACCCCAGTCGTAAACAAGCAATTCACATGCTGGTACGCAAAGTATAGGGGCTTCTTTATGTGTTTTTACATTATCACGCTGACGTAAACGAATGTTATAGACAACTGGCTTCCCGACCAGCTTTTAGTTCAGAGTCTAGTCGGGATCTAGAAAGATACCTCTAGACGCGTACAGCAGGATTTTGAAGAAGAAAAAAAAACCTTTTTTTTGAAAATGGACGTTTCTTTACCCCTTGACGCGGCACCTCATGGACCGCGTTCAATCTTTAAAAAACACCCCTTATACGCGTTTTCTTGGTCACACATGCTTACATCATTCATATTGACTGAGACCCCTGGGGCACATAACGTTATAGCGCCTCCGCTGTGGTTCGAATCGCATACCAAAGGATCAAGAATCCAGCAAAGTGTCCGCTGAACCATATCACCTATTCTATTGCAGGCAAATCTTAAAATATAACGGATTTGAGAACTCTTTTTTGTGTTGCCATTGGTTGTTTTTTGAAAACCTTTCTCTGTTGTCAAAGCTTTGAACCTAGTCGAGAATGTGTTACTTGGAGCAGGCGCGTACGCAGGATTTTTTCAAGGGGGGTGTTTTAACATTTATAAATCGGGCCAAAAATTTCGCAACGACTCAGCCAGCCGCTGAATAAGCGGGGGGGGGTAAGAGGACACTTTTTTGTCAGCCATGGGAATAATTTTTTTTTTTTTTTTTTTTTTTTAAATAATTAAAAAAAAAAAAAAAAAAAATCCAAAGGGGGTTTTTTTTTTTTTTTTTTAGGTGGGTGGTGGAGAGGTTTACACACATAAAAATACCAAGGGGGGGGGTTAACCCCCAAACACCCCCCCCCCCCCCCCCTGTGTACGCGCCTGACTTGGAGTCATTTCGGCAAACAGGGCAAATGACGATAGTCGTCCAATGCAAGGGGTGGATCCAGGATGCTCTGGCACAAAATTTCCCTAAATGGGGTATATCATTGAATGGCAAATGCTCGCGAACGTTGCGAATTTTGGCAGTTGCAATTGGCGACTATTAGCGAAATGTTAGCGAATCCTTTGCCACTATTTGTGAATGTTTGGGACCTTTTACGAACCCTAGCGAAACCCCAAATTCGCTACATTCGCAATCATTCGCCGCTCAGGGAGAAACCCCCTTAAGTTCATTAAAAAATTAATGTTCATTTTCGTGAACTCAAAGTTGGATCCGTATATCAAACACTATTACCGTGCTATATTTTGAATCGGTTCATTTACGACATATGCATCGGGACAGGGTCTCCTTGAGCCCTTGTTTAAATGCTTTGTACCTGAACGCGTATACAAACGGGTTCACGCAGATATTAAAGGTGGCCAAAATAGTTGTGTAGAGGTGCAGACTGCTGCCTAAGTAATTACGCGGTACCCCGAAGACGTTGTAGAAGAAAAACGTCACCTGGTTGGGTGTCCAACAAACCAGGTATGTTACGTAGACGATCAGGAGGGTGATGGTGATGTTGCGTCGTCGAAGGTCTCTCCCTTCTTCTGCAGAGGACTTCGCGACCGGCCGTGGACCCTCGACGTTTTTGTTGCCATCAGGAGGCGCAGATAACTGTGGACCGCTTGTCACAGGTCTTTGGGAACCTGCTGCCTCTTGCAAGGGTAACCCCTCTGTAGTGCTTGAACATGTTGGATTCCCTACCGAATTGGTGACGGGTCCAGGTCTAACGCGCCTCAACGTGCGGAGCTTGGCCGTGATGCATACGAAAGAAAATCCCGTTACGATAACAGGGATTAAGAACTCGAAGACGAAGGCGGCAACACCCGAAAAAATGTTGAAAGCAGGGCTTGTTTCTACGACGATACAGTCACGGCTTGATTTTTCGTCGTAATCAAAAAATGCCGCGGCGAAGATGATTTGTATTGTCGGCGCAGTTAGCCAGGCGATTACCGCGATGAGATACAGCGTTCTCCGTTTCAACCGCGTCATGTAGAGTACGGGGTGTACAACGGCGATGTAACGCTCGATGGAGATGATCGTGAGATTGAACGTCGAGATTGCAAAACCGCTGAAGGTAGCCACCCTGGAGTTCCAGACCCGACAGAAGAGCTCTGCGCCGAGTCCTTTACGGCTTGGTGAGAAAGGATACCAAGTCGCCTGGACGGTATAGATGATGAGGATGACAGAGGTGACGAAGTCGATGAAGGACTGGGTGACGATGAGCCAATTGGTGTTGTTCTCCCTTGACTGACGTCGAAGCACGGCAAAGCAGAGGGCGTTGCCCAACACGCCTAGCACGCCGAAGAGGATTTGAGAAGCAGTAGCGATAGCGAGATCAATCGACATCGTCTCAGGATGATCTCGCATTGACAAAGTATCGTTTGCTGTTCCCGCCATTTTAGTCAATCCGAAAGCAACGTCTGCGTGTAAATGATTCACATTATCGTCGCAGGGTCGTTTTATGTAGGATGGTTCAAGAGATAGAGTAGCTCCGCGCTTAATTGTCGATTGCCAATTTTATCTTACAATTCATTTCAATGTAAATAACACTAGACCGAGAGTCAATAATTGAAATGGTTGTAACCATAGAAACCACTCTACAGTTACTGCCAATACACTCAAAATGATTCAAATATTGAGATATGTGATCATCTAAATGTCGGTTCAATTTAAAGTATATGTTTGAGACATAGATAGGTGGCGGATCATCTCCAAAATTGTGGGGGGGGGCACTCCCTGGCAAAATGGGGGCTCCTACAAAGGAAAACCTCAAAGCGAAAATATACAACTTTTAGACATTAGTACACTGTCACTCATATAGTTGGATAGTTTTTGTTTACCCCAATAATTTGCCAGTGTTTGTTTTGCGTGACTGCTAAAGCATGTGTATGGTAATATGCTTATCAAATAAGGGGACCTACGCCTTTAAGTCATAAATGACAATAATGAGGATTAATGCCCCCCAAAATGGCACTTATATAGCATATCGACACGGTTTTGATCATGGGGCCTCACAGTTACGAAGCCATTGCTTTGTCACTGAACCATGACTGTACGCAGCGGGGGCTAGGGTAGGGGGCAGTTCCCACAAATAAAATAAAAAACAAGGAAAATGCACTAAAAGTTCAATAATTCATTGAATTCCCCCCGGTCCCCAACGTAACAAAATCCTCTGTACGGCCATGCATTATGGCTCAAGGCATGGGCACACAGAGGATTTTTCTCATATTGGGGACCGGGGTAAAATACAATGAATCATTGAAAAATTATTGCATTTTATTTATTCATTTTGTTTGTTTGTGGGAACTGCCCCCTACCCTAGCCCCCGCTGTGTACAGTCATGGCTCAGTGACAAAGCAATGGCCTCGTAACTGTGAGGCCCCAGGATCAAAACCGTGTCGCTATAAATGCTATATTAGTGCCCTTTGTGGGGCATTAATCCTCATTACTGTCATTTATGACTTAAGGGTGTAGGTCCCCCAAATGTATACTATTATCTAGATATATAAGGAATAAATCATTGTCAAAATAATTCCATAAATTGGGGTAAAAAATAGAATTTGTCCAACTATATGAGCGACAGTGTATATACCCCTACATTGCGGTGAATACATCATCAGGACGATTTCAATATTTGTTTCTTTCTTTACATGGTCCAAAACACTGCTTGAGCATCATACTTTGAAGTTGGGCATGCTTGTCTGAAGATTAATTTGCAATCGAGCGAAGCAAATATTTCACCATTTGTTAGGTCGCTATATGACAATTACATCTTATAAAGAGGGGAAGAAAAGTAGTCCTGATGGGTAAGGGTATACAAGCATAGGTGCACTTGCAGAGGTGATAGGAGGCACTATGGAACGGGCACATAATTACATGTATTAGCAAGAAAAAGGGGCACTTATCTGGAATCTGAAGTCAATATGGGCACTTTGGGATACTTGACAAAAAAGTGGGGTGATAATGCCCCCCCCCCCATCCCCACCGCCGCTTCCGTTAAAGACATTTATTACATTTACTACATTGTACTTGAAAACGGCCGGAAATTTAAAAAAAAAATCGATATCAATTTCTTTGTAGGTGAAATTGAAATCTGACACTGCACATGATGCAGCGATGTGGTGAAAAGTTTTGAGGTACTTAATGTTTTGAACGTCTTTGCACAGAACTTTCAAAAACGTCATTATGATATTTATGTTCATGCTACTAAATACTGGATGCAATTTTGTGGAGTGAAAAGGAACGAGGGCACCATTAACAAAATGTTAGAGTGAATACAAATTAAAGCTCGCCGTTCGATCGTTCTTAGCCTTGGAATGCAATCGAAATAGAATCATGTGATTGTACCATGAATTTTGATTTTAATGAGGCGCACCAATTTAGTGCTCAAGGTTCAATCATTGTAAGGGTTTTCTTGAAAATAATTCTGATTTTGGCGCTGATCGTTTTTTCAAAGTTTGCAATTTATTTAATGTTCATTCGAATAGAAAACCGTAAATCAGTACTTCATCAATTATCTATATCAAAATAAAAGTCCACCCTGAAATTAAGTTGTTCTTAATAAAAAGCTGAAAATGAAAGGAAAAAACCGTCAGTGAAAGTTTGAGCAAAAAAAGATTAAAAAAGAGAAAGTTATGAAATGTTGACGGTGCGACTAATCAAACTTAAATTGGCAACTTTGTGACGTAATCTTGCGAGATCCCCTCCGATTCACCCTGTACTAAACAACTTTAAAATGTATGTTTTCCCTTAAGAATGTTTCAATCATACATTCACCCTATATAATTTATGGCAAATATGTTTTTATATTACCCCTATAAAATATGAAACAAATCTATTCCATCATCAATAACTAAGCAAATTACAGTTTATAACATTTTCTGTACAGAGCAAATTGGAGAGGAGCTCGCAAGATACATCACAGAGTTGCCAATTTGTTTTTGATTTGTCGCAACTTTATAATTCATAACTTTCTTTATTGTATCGGATTTTGCTCTCACCTTCACTGTTCTGTTTTCTCAGTTTTCTGCTTCTTTTAAAGATATCCCTTTTGCAGCCAACATCAAATTCTGTAGAGCTTTGCAGCCTGGATATGTCATGTAGGTCCTATCTGTGAAATTTAAACGTTAACAGTGTCCTAATATTATGCAAGGAAACCCGTTTACTTGCTAGACTTCACTGTCAGACGCTATTGAGGGACTGACTGGCCTTTTTTCCTTCTTTGGTAATAACATACATAAAATGAGCTGTAAATGGTACATGAGCATTTGTCTACAACAATAACCCACTTCTTGTAATGGCCAAAATTAAACTGACCGAATCTTTGCGCAGCACAAAACGTACGAACATTCGGTACAATGGTCTGAAAATCTTACTGACTTGGTAGCACTTAAGTCGATTCGACAACACTAATAGTCGTTATTTTCCCACTTAAAGACATTTTCAAGCCCCCTTGTTAGGGAAGTTCTAAATTAGTATTATCTTTCAAATGCCGTTGGAATTTAACCTTTTCATTTTTTGTAATATGTTTCACATGAAATTATTTGATGACATGATTTTCATAAACTATTCTATGTCCATGACTTTGTCAAATAAGAATATTTGTTACTCTGGTGTGAAGTGTGGGGACCCGGATGCTTGGTGTCGTTCCCATTTTCCCTTTCAATTTTCAAATACTCCATACTTCCAAAGTGTCTCTTTTAACATATAAGGAGCACCCTTTTTCACCTCTGACAATTAGCGTCATCTTTCTTTATATAAACAAATTCCTTTCACTTTGGGGATGCAGGGGAGGAGGGGGGGGGGGTCACAAATGGGAAGAAATACAAATTTAAAACAAATTAACAAAAGCAATGTTCAGGTTGAAAAAAATAAACTTTCTCTTGGTCACGTGAGGACAGTACAGGAGGATCCAGAATTGTCAGAAAGAGGGCGCCAATTTTTCCCCCGAAAGTAACTGTTGATAAATATAGTTCTCATAGCCTATTGGCCCGTGGGGAGGGGAAAGGGTGATTCTTTCCTATAACCTTCTCCCTCTCCCTCTCCATCTCTCTCTCTCTCTCTCTCTCTCTCTCTCTCTCTCACACACACACAAACGATGGGGGAGAGGTAAAAAAAAACACAGTAAAATTAACTTGTCTATAGCCCTTTTGCAGAGGATACATAGGTGCTGCCCCCCCCCCCCGGCCCCCCACTCCGGGAACGAAGGGATACCATGCGTGTTCCCAAAATCTCCGGCTCGTAACAAAAGAAAAAAGTCTACCCGTCTTGACTTTAAACACCGGACTTATGGGGGTGCTGAAAAGGCTCGTATAACAAAAGAAAAAGATCTACCCGTATTGACTTTGCACACCGGATTTATGCTGAAGGGGGGGGGGGGGTCGCTTGGAACACGCATATGCGTACCCTAAATAACACTGAGTTGGGTTGGGGGCGGGTTGCTGTCCCTTAGACTTGTCTAAAGACAAATTAAGAATTGCAGAGATAGTCCTATGGGTGGTTGCAGATGCTTTTCGAAAGTTCAAGTGCAGTAGTTTATTTTTATTTCCTTATTTTTTTTTTTTTTTTTCCCTTTTATACATTTGGAAATTAGTTGGATGATGTTTATTATTTTTCTTGTTATTGTTTACAAAATAATTAATCTTGTATGGCTTTCTTACTCAAAATTATTACTCTGACAAGAACATGTCCTAAAGTTATTATGGATTTCGAATTATAGTAGGCCCTATACCACAGTAAGGGTGTCTTATTATGCCCACCACTGAGGGGCCCAGTAATTGGGAAATATGGGGATGGACTGTTTTTCTCCCTATCTCCAGGAGCTGGTTGGTATTAAAGTTTTGGTAAATCACTCAATAAAAAACGATGATTAAACGGGACACCAATGCACCATTATTGAACCATCTACGAGAAAGCGGCCTTTCTATACAGGTTGGTCCATGCCCAGACTATTTAGATCGACTTACTAACGGTAATGGGTCGAATTTAGCTGTAATTCGCTTGTTGTTGGCGAATGTTATTTATTTCGTTAGGCCGAAATTGATTTGGCTCAGAAGCTGAAAAGGGTGTGTAAACGGGCAAGGAAATTCACTATTTTTTGCCGTCATCATGAGTGAAATTCGCCAAAGGGAAGGTGAACAGATCAAGAAAGAATCCAGTGAAGATGGGAAACCCGGAGATAAAGAACTGAATCAGGAAGAAGAGGTGAATAATGCATTATATTTTTTTGTCGCACTTTTCCAGCAGTGACAGCTGTGCATCGGAGCCGAAACCTCCCCGTTCATTACGTGCGAGCTGTTGGTATAGTTATGATGTTATGGTTGTGTAAACTCAAAACTGTATGTAGACTCTAGGCCTAATCCTATGGCTATGAGTATGACTGCGCAGTACGCACCTACAATTTCACTCGAAATTGACAAGAATGTCTCTATTGGTTTCTGCTTAACCTTGATCTGATCTTCTTCCTAATATTTTAGAGTATAAGTGTGCTGAAAATGTTGTCAAAATTTGAGCAAGGAGTCGAAGAACAATGTAATTTTCACAAAAGACACAAGAAAAGAAAAGACAGCAGTGTCATTTTGGCATTGGAAAAAGAAATGCTCCAATATCTACCCAGTACCCACCCTTCACTTTAGATGCAATTCAGGATTTTTTATGCGAAAGATAACATTTTGAGGCTTGAGGATAAAACTAAAAGTATTACAGTGTGTATTTAAAGCTAAAGTCAGATATTTCTCACTGTCTTTACATGTTTTCTGAATGCATACAAATCGCTATAAATATAAAAAAGACCTAGAGGTCTAGACCTTGAAGACCTTGACCTTAACGGCCACACTTCGCCATCATGGTGATGAAGAGGCAAACATTTTGTGTTGGTTGCATGTTTTGTGTGATCAGAATCACGCGGTTACACGTATTTGCAGCTACATGTAACTCAGACATGGGCCTGGGCACTGTACTCTGTAGCCACATTTGACCGATTTCGTTCTTCAGAGTGGGGTTTGTGATGTGCCCAGTGGCTAATTGCATGTACCGGTAAATTGTAAGTGTGTGCGTTGAGGTTTTTACAGACGTGTGATCAATCAAGTGTGTTAAACACCTGGTATCATTGATGTACATTATGACCACTGGAGGTTTTAATTGGTGTGAGTACATGTACGTGCACTGTACATATACATGTAAAATCATGGACCTTGGTCCGATCGGGATGTTTTTGTGGTTTCATTTGTAAATGTAGCCAAAAAAATAGAGAGCCTGTTTCTCAAAAGCAACGACAAGACAGTCATAACTAACCCTGTAAGTTGGGGCTCTGATCGGATCGGAAGATAGGAGCGACACCCTTGCACCTTTGATCGGTATGTTGTAGACCATGTTTGTTGATATTTAGTGCCTTTTCATGACTTTGAAATTAATAATATTGGTCTAAGAGAAGAGGCAAAACATGCGGGCCGCCATCTTGGATTATATTGTCGGCATGCATTATAATCCAAGATGGCGGCCCGCATTTTTTTCCGATCATTTTTATTGATCGGCGATCAGAAATTATTATCCGATCACCCCTGATCGGCTCAAAATCGGCCCCTGATCCGATCATCTGTTACAGCACTAGTCATAACTTTATCACCAAACTACTGTATGGCACTCTAGCCATATATGTTTGACCGATTCTGTTCTTGAGAGTGAGGTTGTGATGTGCCCAGGAGGCCAGTTGGCTCAGTCGGTAAAGCGCCTGCCTGTCGAACCAAAGATTGTGAGTTCAAATCCAACCCAGGTGGATGACTGAAGCCTGCGTTGTGTGTTAACGTGCCCCTCCTCTGTTTCATAGATGCAGGCAATGTTAAGTGAAAAACGCTCTGTTCCTCGGATAGGACGTTAAATTGAGGCCCTACATGTATGTAGAGGAGAGTCACCACCTGAGCACTTTAAGAACCCACTGCACTACTCGCATAAGAGTAGGGGGAAATCCTGATGTACATGTAGTGGTCCATCTGCACACCCCCAATCGGTTACCGGGAGATACAGTGTATAATGCTTTGCGTAATCATCTTTGCACAAAGTAGCACTTAATGAGGAAGAAGAAGAAGGAGGTATCTCTTTTTGTGACATTACTATACAGTACATGTAGATACATGTGCATTGTGCATTTTGTTTCCTTTCATAAAGACTTTACTGGACTTACCCTTCCAAAATGAACATTTACAGTGTAAATGTGTTAAAAGCTGTACATTGTACATACACATGTACATGTAGGTTACAATTTCAGAAACACAACACAAAACAATGAAGTACAAAAAAAGACCTAACAAGCATCATGTCAGAGCAGATATATATGGGTAGACTAAGGTGATTGTGGCCCCCCTTTTTGATTGTCCAGGTCAGATTGATGTTGGTCAGGGTTATTGTGGCCCCTTTTTGTCATGACTAATTGATATTATAAATTTAGCAATAATTTGTTATAGTTATCATTAATGTCACTCAGGTATTGCTAATATAAATTGACACCAACCAATCAACAGTTTACTAAATATTCAAATTCGATGCATACTGTACTGTTTAAAGAAAGTTTATTCTTGATAACCCAAAAGCTTGCTACGGTCACAAAGGTTCGTACGAACGATAATTTTGTAGGAATCTCCGTTTTTCCATTGTCTTCCCGAATTTCCATTGTCTGAAAATCGTTCGTACTGCGTTCGTAGCAGTTCGTAATGGCATTTGTGACCGAGGCTTAAGGCTTGCCCAACAGAGCAACAACTTTCAAGTAATGTATGCAGACTGGATTCCAAGTATTCTAGTTCATTCACTATACCTGTTGGTCCCCAGGATAGACACATCCATAAATTTGAATGTTATTAAATTGGTCCAGCCAATTTCAGAAATAAGAAATCATATCAGTATATCAAAATGTACATTGAGTGATGCTATCTGAAGTATAAGCTCTCGAAGACAAAGTGACCACAATTACCCTATAGAGTACCGAAGCTGTGACATCATAAAAATCCATTTTTAGAATTTCTCAATTTTTTTTAAATTTTCTGAGAGAGCATCAAAAATAATGTCCAAATGTCGAAAACCAATCAAATATGTTAAGTATTGGCTGAGATATGAACATCTGAATAAAAAGATTGCCTATAGGAACTCAGTGTTATTTGCCCTGGCTCCTAATGGTTAGGAGCTAGGGCAGCACTAGCTGAGTTCCTATGGGGAGTATATTTATTCAGATGGTCATACAGTTGTATCTCAGCCAATACTCGACATATTCAATTGGTTTTCAACATTTGGACATTATTTTTGATGCTCTTTTAGAAAATGAAGAAAAAAATTGAGAAATTCTAAAAATAGATTTTTGATGACTTCACACTTCACCACTCTATAGGGTATTTGTGGTCTCCCCTACATGAACTGTGTCTAAGAGGCTGTTCACACCGGCATCTCTGCGCTATCTCTGCCGGTGTGAACCCGAGCTACGATAGCACGCCGGAAGTCATCGTTCTACACGCGGGGAATTTTATACTCATTCTATTTTGGTGCGATCTGAATCTGAATCGGTACAACTCAACACTCCGGGTTCGTGATAGCGCGCAAAATCTTTGACCGCTCTGACCTCATGACGTCACGCGTCATGGCAACAGGACCTCTCAAAAAAGGGGGTGCTACGATAGACCGCGCTATTTCACTGCGGTGTGGATCCGGCGAATGCCAATGGGCGGACCGTGGGTCGCACTACGGTCCCCCCTTGCAGTGTGAACACGCCCATATAGTCTTTAAAATTAGACACATCTCATTATCCGTTTCCATGTTTTGGTCAACATCAACTACAAAAAACATGGAAAAAAATACTATAGGCAAAAAAAATTGGTGGGCAGGGAAAAAACAAGCAAATAAACAATCAGACAGAAGACTGCATTATATGCACAGTGCAGAGACTACAGTCAGAATTTCCCCATGTTGTACATGCACAGTATGTAGCGTCTATGATAGCGTACATAATAATAATAATAATAATAATAGCCTAACAAGTCCACTCCAAATTTTATTAAACCGAAACGGAAATTCTTTTTGCCCAATTGATCGTGAGCCCGGCAGCCACTGAGCAGCGCCAGATCGACGTTGCTCTATCCCTTATTGTTGAACGCCAAACAAGGTAGACACATTACCACCAAGTCACACCAAGGTCTATGGGATAATGCAATTTTCAGACAAGGCATCTTTTTCATTAACGAACTTGGAACATATGTACATGCAGCACCTACAGTGTATATTTTTCGGAATCCGTCTTTGCAAACAAGGATCTGACTTAAAAGACTACTCCTCTTACATGTATGTTTTCCGATGGAGGCTATTTTTAGATGCTTGCCTCCATCTCAGTGTGAATACATTACCAGTTTGCCTTCCCATCTGTTTTTGCTTGATATGCCTGATGTACCCTAAAATGCAGGTGATTATTAAAAGGTACAAGTGTAGTGTCATGTCCACTTACATGTACATTTAAAGTGATAACCATTACTTGGACATTAAATAACAGATTTGATTAATAGTACCTTGTACCTTGTAGTTGTAGAACGAGACTTCTACATGAAAAATATTTGCTGGGGTGTGCAAAGTGCATCCACCTCAATGTGAATACATTTGTTATTTATTTATTTATTTCTGATGATATTTAGACAGGATGAGTCATCACCAATAATGATGGCCTTCCATGAGACCCTGTTAAACATAATAAAGTACAATCGTTTAAAAAAAAAAATATAAATATAAAATAAAAATAATAATAACAAAATCATGAACATAAATTTATAACATAAACAAAGAATAAGTAAGAACATGTATAAACATAAAGTATTTGGTATCGTTGTATTGAATGAATGGTTTATTAGTTTTGTTTTGCTTTGCTTTTTTGTTCAAGAAAACGTTTTTGCACATTTACAATGTATAATATCTTAATATAACATTATAATATTAAATTACATGTATCTGGATGCCTTCCCATTTATTTTGATGAATGAAACGCCTGCTTTAGACGAGCCTGATATCCCAAAATACATTGATCTAAAAGTACATATATACATGTAAATAATGTGCTAATATCATGTTCACCAAAGTTGATTGGTTTTTAGTACCAGTACATATTGTACTTTTACATTGAATTGCAATGAAAAAACAATAACACTGAAGACCGTAAGTACATTGTTGACATGGGCTCTTCC